CAGGGTTGACTCAGCCTTCCATCCTTCCGAGGTGGGTAAAATGAGGACCCAGATTGTTGGGGGCAATATGCTGACTCTCTGTAAACCGCTTAGAGAGGCCTGAAAGGCCTATGAAGCGGTATATAAGTCTATTGCTATTGCTATATTGACGTACCTGTCATTCTCATCTGACACACCAAGTGCACGTATTCCTTCTTGTTTTCCTCAGTCACAAGAATGTTGGCTCCGTTGGGCTTGAGGTCACGTACCTCACATACACCAAATTCTTGAACCTATTTAGCAGGGCGAAGCGGGGGGGGGGAGAGGGGGGAGGAAAGGGCATCAAAAGAGTGCTAAAAAGTTTGAACCAGAGAATAGGACAAGGTTACCACTTTAACATGGGGTTACCTCAGTGCTGAAGGTGAGATCATAGCCCAGCGTGGAGACATCATTCTCCAGGAGATACACCAGTCCCTGGTAGAAATGGTAATCCTCGCTCTCCATATCTGTGTACCTGCAGGCAACTGGCTGGATTAGAAGTGGCTCCCAGACAGGAAAGCTCAGGAGATGAATCCATTCATTTAACAGCCTTAAAGCAAATGCATTACTTACCTGACTGATTTGCCCAGGATATGCTTGTAGAAGGAACGGGTGAAGTAGCATTCTAGTAACCGATTGTCATATACTGCCTTTGCCACAATGCGCCCGACAAACTTGAAGTAACTCAGGTGGTTGGGGTTACAGTGGGAAGAAGGATTGATGGTGTAGGTAACCCGATCACCAGGCGATGTGCGGAAAAGCGCATACATGGGGTTAAACATCTCCCGTGAGATTATCATGTACCACTCACGTAGCAAGCCTCCAGCATCCTGGCCCTCTTCTCCTTCAAATACTATGTACCTAGCAGAAGGAAGATAACATACATACATAATAGCACGGTCAAAGGCAGCAAGATGTTAAAACTGCCAAATTCAATCTTATGTTTTTAGTTTAAGGAAAAACCTAAACTACACATATATTTTATGTGACTTTTTTCTGGATATCAGGATTCAAAAAACCCAAAACAACAACAACTAATAATAATTCATATGCCATGACACCAATTTCACCACAGGCTGTAGCAAAATTTCAGCAACTGGACAAGAATATATTGCTTACAGCCTGTTTTTCATTTCTTCAGGTGATTTGCGATGCAATTCCCGGTAAGAATCTTCAAAGACGTGATCTCGACGCACGTGCACAGCCATATCTTCTTTCCTCAGCCCTTCATCCAACCTTTCCAATTCTTGCCGGAAATACCTGCAAAGGAAGATTGAGGATGCAGCATTATTACTGTGCCACTGTGTGGTCTTCACGACAGTGACCACAGAAAACGGAAACTAACTTAAGCATAGTTTTCTTAGGCGCAGAAAAAATCCAGTAGTCTGCCAGAGGGTTAAAACATTTTTGCTTATCACACCTGGGAAGCAGAAGCAGCAGTCGTATATTTGTTCGACAACAAAATCAAAATCGAACAAAATCAAAGTCTAACAAGTTACTATTGTTCGATTTTGTTTTGCACTCATCCCAACGACTAGGGTAATTAAAAACATCAAGAATATTCAAATGCAGTAGGAAATTAATGTGTTTCAATGTGGAACAATCTGCCCTAGTGCTCAAAGAGGAAGCCATACTTCCACTCCCTCCTGCTACCTTATTTTTAAAGAAGGAACCCCAAGTGCTATCCCACTCTGAAACCTACTTCCGTTTGACATCAAAGTCCAGCACACGTATGTAATCAACAAGGACCGCAAAGGGACCATCAGCCAGGTGGGTAGTGGACTGGCGCAGGATCTGGTTCAGCACAGTCCGATGTGTCTCTGCAAGTTGAGAGAGGTAATGATAAATCCACAGTCTTCCCAACCAGAAACTGATTTTTCAGCTACCAGAATATCTTCTGCCACAAAGTTGAGCCCAATTAACCATATGGTGCCAGTCATGATTTATCATTTACGTCCCATCCCTTGTCAATTCTCTTATGGCAATATTTCCGGTACTCTAATAAAAGAGTTCCTTCCAGTTCTTTTGACGTAAGTCTGGTGTGCCTCAGCTTGAGCTTACCTGCAAAACGGAGGAATTTCTGGGTATCCGGGGGAAGGCTGGAGGAGATATGCATGGATGAAGGCTCACGGGAGAAAAAGGGGTCAAGGGAAGAAGGTGTTGCTGGTGTCAGTGGGGCAGGTGAAAGTGGCGGGGGTTCATCCTTGATGTGAGCCAGCTGACTTTCCCGAGTGTCCCGTACTGGTGGCTTGCTTTCTCGCTCTGTCGCGTGCACCAAAAAGAAGGCCTCCACTGCAGGCTGTAGCACTGCAAGCGAAAGAAGAAGAAGAAGGAAAAAATAAGTCCCAAGAGGAAGTGAGGGCTAAACTAGTTGGACATGTACAAGCAGCCCCAGAACCTTACCAAGCACAGCGTGTTGGTCATGGGATTCTTCCAGCTCTTTCAGACACTCGCCCAACATGTCCCACAATTCATCCAGACTAAGCTGCTCACTGAGCAAAGGAAGATCTGGAGGGCGCTCTTCTTTCTCCTTCTCACCCTGCTGGGCCCCTTCCAACACTGTGGAAACAAGGAAGTTGAGTCCCAGAGAGACCACACCTTCAAAAGCAATCTCCCCACCCTACCTCAGATACGTGTAGATTTGTGACATGCAGTGTGTTTGTCCAAAAATATGAGAACACCAAACAAGGGCTATGTCGGGGGCAAACGGCAGTTAAATTATTACCTTGCCATAATGCGGAAAAAATAATTATATTTTCTGTGGCTAAGGAAAAGCAATGGTGTCAGAGGAGGCCACTGTAGCAAAACAGCATGGAAACTGGGAAGTGTTTTCTGCCAACATCAGAAGGTAATCGTTTCTCAATTTTTCAGCAGTGGGCTGCAGATTTCATAGAATTCAGGGCAGTGCAAATAAGGATCTCACACAGATTGTCCATTGCTGGCATTCTAAGATATACTTGCTTTCCCATACTAATGGCAGCCATTGATTAACCTCCCAAACTGATGCTACTAACCAACTGACTGGGTGTCTTGCGTGGTGGGTGATGGCTGATCCACATCCATTGGGGATTCATCTCTCCTTACAGATCCCTCTGCTTGGTTTGACTCCGACTGAAGAGAAGAGAAACAGACCAGTGTCTAAAAGCTGCAGTCTTCTAGAAGTACTGGGGGAAGTAAGTGCTGGGAGGTCAGCCCAATCACTTTCCCAAGAAAGGGTAGAAAATGGAATCACACTGAACTGTACATGGTAGCACTACCAATTTCCCCACCCACCCAACTACAAAGACCAAAGGAGGTTAAACATGCTACTGCACACAAGCTAAAATTTGCAGGAAGAAAATTAAACAAAAAGGCATTGCTACAAAAGTAGAGGATAGAAAAAAAAAAGCAAGATGCATGAGATGCCTGAAGGCTGATCATTTATAGCCTGGAGCAAAGGTTTTGCATGCACTTGAATGAGAAATTCTATAAAAGCACAGAACAGCAGTGGGGGAGGGAAAGGGGGGGGTTGCCATCATTGAGGCCTTTCCTGCAGGAGAGAACTTATAAATTGAAATTACACACTGTACGAAAGCAGCTTGGCTTCAATATACTGCTGACTCTACTATCTACTCTTTATCTAACAAGAGACATAAGCAATAATCTTATGCCAACCTTGGCTTGATTAGTAGACCTGGTTATTATACTGAGAAAAATCCAATGCGTGAGACTCATCTCTTTCTACAATAGCATTTATAATGTAGCTGGCTGGAGAACCTCCTGTGAAGCTGGAGAATTGTGGTCTCAATGACGCAAACGATTATCAGTGAAACATCTGGAGAGAGTGGGCTAAGGATTTCACATATTTGATATCAGCAGCTATTATTATGTACACAAGTAAAAGATGTGTTCAACCAATGTGGGTTGTGCCTTATGCCTGGTATGTACTAAATTATTTCTAGCTGCTAAAACTCAGAAGTAAATGCAATGTTGTATCTCTGAAAGGCAGCAAAAGACAGCAGTAAGTGGTTGATGCAGAAACCAGAGTTTGGACTTTGTAACTCAATGAATGTGATGAACAATTGCTGCAAGTAAAAACTCAGCTTTACTCCACAACCTCTATTGTGGGTGGTACAAAATAGATGCTGGATCTAAATTGAGTTGGCACTACCACAAATGTCAGCCCATTCACAGCCAAGCACTTGAATCTGAGTGCTTTGAAGTATGGTAAAGAGAGTAAGGTTGAAGAGCAGAGAAAGGTAAGCCATAACCATGGTTATCGATCATATATATTCAACTAATAACTAGGAGTTTGGGGTGTTCTGCTAGTCTGTTAAATCCTAGAACGTGCCAGTAAACTTGAGTCCTTCTGAAGCACTTTATTTTGCGAGCTGTCAGATGAAACCACAGCAGAGATTCCTGGCTACTGCTTTTCTGCACCTTTGCCAAAAGGCTGCCCTAATGCCTACCTTTAATTTTTTTTTTTAGATTTAATAAATTCAACAATTAAAAAAGCAAAAATGGAAAATGTGCCAAACTGATCTCATCCATAAGCGTTGTATTTCTAATTTCCAGCCAATACTTTTGGGTATTAAAGAAAATTGCTGGAATTTCAAAATCATTATTTTCTTCTAATCCTGGCCAAAGCTGTTTCCCACCCGAGTTGTAGTCCAACCTTCCCTACTATGAGTAGGCCAAGCAAAACAAGTGATACGATTACGTTCTCAAGTTTCAATCTAGTATAGAAATAACAAGAGTTATGATTAATTTATTCACAGCAAGAAAGAACAAGCTCTATCATAGTGGAGCGACTTGAGAAGGAGAGGATCTGGCATTTACTTGTATTGTCACCTCTCTCTCCTGTACTTACAGATCTCTCAACACTCAAGAAAAGGTAAATAAGTTACAGTTAGGGAAAAAAATGTCTTACGCCACCACCAAAAGGCTAGAGAGACCTGCCCACTTAGAAAAAAAGAACACGAAATACATGTTGAGACAGTTAAAAGAGTATAAAACAATTCTACATGAATGAAAAACCCTAAGGATACAATTTGTTAAGACATTCTGGAAATAGTTTTGAAGCAAGAACTCTCAGTCAACTCTAAAAAGACAGAGGGAAGGAGGGAGGGAGAGAGAGAGAGAGAGAGAGAGAGAGAGAGAGATCCAGCCAGCTACACAAGAGCAATGCTTCTAAATTAACCTGCTCCTAAACTAGCCTGTTGTTCTCTGAGAAGTAGATCTCTGTGGGGTACGTGATAGCAATAGCAATAGCAGTTAGACTTATATACCGCTTCATAGGGCTTTCAGCCCTCTCTAAGCGGTTTACAGAGTCAGCA